CCAATGGGATATAAACTGTGAGATTCGCAAAAGGATTTGTAAATAGCAAATGATCAATGCGTGACCCAGGTGTGCCTCTCTGGACTTTCACTTGGATGAAGATCCCATTTTCAACCTTCTTTTATTTCAGCCTTGTTAATTGGCATAAGATTGGTCCCTGAGTAGAGTTTGAGATTCTCAATTCCCATTATCCTCATTATGGGTTTCTTTATATTGTGTGATTAATGTAATCATTAATTATATTATTCATAAATGTAAATGAATGTCTTCTCCAAAGAATACAATTATATATCCTCCGAATCTTGGCATCTGACCTCACTTTATACACGTAATCACAGTCACATGTTTGGATGGTTTTAGTGCCTGAAATGAACATAGGAAGGCCATTCAGTCCCTCGAGCCTATTCCCCCATTTTATAAATTCATGACTGATCTGTACGTTAACTCCAAATACCCAGCATTGCTCCATAACCCTTGATACCGTTACCTAACAAAAATATATCGACTTCAGTCTTGAAAATTTTAATTGATCCAGGATCCATAGCTTTTTGGGGGTGAGGTTCCAGATTTAAACATTATTTACAACTGTGAAATGACAATTGTGTCAATAAGACGGCATGTTGCAATCAAAATTGCAATCTGTTCAAGGTTTAGGAACAAAGAGATCCGTCTCTTTTCTCTCTCACTTTCTCTCTCGCACCTTCCAAGCTCAAACTATAGACCAGGAAGATAAAAAGAATAAATCATTTAAAAAAGAGAAGGAAGAGATTAATTAGATTACATTACTTAAACAAAGATATCCTGAAGAATGTCGCATATGACCAGGAAATACAATATCTTCAGAGAAAGAATAGATGTGTTTTCTGTCCTCAGTCAATTGGCTGAGCATGGAAATGAGGGTTAATTTTGTGGCTTCAAAACCAAGGAAATGTATAATTTTCGGGAAGACGATTGCGTTTCTGCATCTACACCAGAAGTACAGTATGACAAGATTCCAAATTTATCTTTTATAAGACTTCACGAAGACTGTGAATTATTAAATGACCATTTCTGTTTCGGAGCAGAACATTGTCACAGGAATGTTAACAACCATGTTCACAAATGATATGTAAGGATATTTACCCAACAAGGATATTTAAATTGTGGAGTTAGAAGCATGTTGAGATGTTAGGAGGGAGTGACATGGATAGTAAATTTTTAGCAAACGACCTTTGGTTTAGTCGGGCTGTAAATGAATTTATTGGACCGGATGTAACCTTGTGAAGCCAAGTTTTCACTTAAAAGAGCAAGTCGTTCTCATAGATATCAGCATAGGAGCTTTGGCTTCTTACAATGTTATTGATTCCTTGATTGTCGTTTATCCTCGATAGGTATTAAAATGTTTATACAGTAAACTTCGCCCATTTGCTGATGTTAACATAACTTTAGAAAATGCTTGATCTTGATCTCTTAATGAAAGACAAGACGACCATCCGTTGGGTGATAATTCACTTGCAGCTCAATCAAGCAGTTTTCTGTTACAGTATAAACACACAACATACAAACACCGCTGTATTTTAGTACGAGAGCGAGTTTTTTTTCACGTTTTTTTCACGGGAGTTTTTTTCCACGTTGAAATCCCATCAGTAAAAGACCAGCGAATTTGTGAACAATTATAAGTTACCAAACCACAGCTGGACTCTTCAGCTGACAAAGCTACGATTGATTGATTCACCTGCAACAAAAGTTTTTTTTTGTTTCCTTAAAATAAAAGGTAACAGATTGATGCATGTCCCAGCAGGTTGGTCACATTTACATCACCTTGAAAACTAAAGTCTACAGTTAGGAAAACCCTAGCGATCCGAACGGGCGTTAGCAACTTGTAAGTGCAGAAACAGGTCGGATTACTTTTTTTTCTATCAAAGTTTCTTTGCAGGGAAATATTACTCCAACTTGCTCCTACAGGGAAACTAACGCTAGAAGCATCTCAACGATTGCTGCTGTACGTAGATATATTTTGAAGGCGTGGTGGCGTTTCCAAGACGATGCTGTAATAACCTGGGCGGTAGCAATGAAATTGGTTGGGTGGTGAGGTGAGGTGAGGGGTAGGGGGGTGGAAAAAAACCCAAAACAGGTCGAACCAGGACCGGATTTTAACAGCCAAACTATTAAGCTTTGCACAGCCCCTCTCATGGGGCCTATTGGGATCTGAATCTCTCAGGAACACCAAATATTTCATAACTCATTCAAGGGACCAGGGTTTTTATTGGATAAGTTCAGGTCAGGAGGCGTGTGTGTGTGTGTGTGTGTGTGAAGGGGAGATCTCTGAACTCTGGGAGGTTGGGATGACGCCTTTCCAATTGAGGAGCAGTCATTCGAGTGGGTGTTTCTTCTTGGATGAGCAACACACAGAGGCAGAGTTATTGTTTAACTGCAACAGAGACCAGTGACTGGGGCACATGTTTGGTTTTAGTGCACAATATACGGAAGTGAATCCTTTTTTTTTCCCGCAGGTGATGGCTGTCACCTGAAAATACAAAAGCCACCACTTTCCAATCGTAGTGCACAGGCACTTTGACGGGAAATATTGGGGTCGCAGACGAATTAGATCCATAAATGGAACCACAATTCACTCATTAAAAAAAAATGCAGATTTCATTGCAAAGAAGTGGATACAAACCCCAACCAAAAAAAAAAACAAGACTCTTAACAGACACCTGTTAAAACGTCTGTTGATGTCAGGATGTGTTACTGCTGTGTATTTGCAGCTGTGATTAAGGAAACCCTTTTGCTAAACTCACGTCGAGAAGAAACTAACGAAGAAAAGAAAGGAACACTGTTAATTTACCCCCAAAATGTCATTATATTTAGTTCGAGTTGATAGCAACGTTGCATCAGTTCATAGACACATCTTTTTTTTTAAAACACTGAAACAATGAACGGATCTGCGAATGGCATTTTGTTCCAATGCCACTTTACGAATAAAGAGACTCGATAACTTGCATCGGATTTGTTAAAAGTGTTGTTTTTTTTGCTGTGATCAAACCTCGGGAGGGATTTTTTATATAAAAAAACACACACACACACACACCAGGACAGAGAGAGAGAGAGAGAGAGAGACAGACAGAGAGACAGAGAGAAAGACAGACAGAGAGAGAGAGAGAGACAGAGACAGAGAGAGAGAGAGAGAGAAACGAATTTCCCAATTCA